ATATATATATATATATATATATATATATATATATATATATATATATATATATATATATATATGTATATATGTATAATGTGTATTAATTTTAGGTGACTTGAACACTCATGGTGTTGTTCATGTGTTTTGGATTCTTATGAATGTTACTCATGAGTATTATTTCTTTGCACCCTTTTCCCTCCATAGCTAAATCTAGAATGTTTGATCAATTATTGACTAAGGAGATAAGAGTTTATGTTATTTTCATTTAATTATCGTCCAATTGGTGACTTTTGAGTCAAATTGATGAACATTTATATCTTCGAACATGAGAAGTTTGTGATATCTAAGTAAAGGAGGGATAGATGAATAACAACTATCCTGATGGTAGAATGACTAAGAAAAACTTTAAAAAAATTGAAAATTACTACCTATGCCAATATGGTGCACCCTCCTTTTCAGTGGCTCAACCATAGAAATTCTATAGTTAAACATGTTTTTTTTGTTTTGGGCAACCTCTTCTAGTAACATAACCATGTTGTAGGAGAATGTCGGAACTATTAAATCTTGAATATGAATTATGAATCCTTATTTGGTTCCATAAGAAGGGGAGCATGAGACACGATGATGAATACTTAAACTAAACAATAGTGGTTAATGCATAAACATCAAGGGGTCTATGAGGAGGACTCTTCATGCATAAGAATGAAAGAAAAGATTTTCATTCAAAGGAAGGATCAACATATCTGTTAGCCCTTTTTGCAAAATTATTCAAAGATTTGGAGTTTGTGAACATTAAAGTGAATGGAATCTTACAAAATGTCCCACACCCTTCGTAAGTTGATAGCCAAATTGGATACTCATCTCTCCCAACAGTACTCTTTTCCCATTGACAAAGGCTTAAAGTACTACCAAAGTATTAGCCATGAATAGGAACCCTAGCTTTTAACCCCCTTGCGTCATCATCTCCTCTCTCTACAAAGATCATAACCCTTGTTATAAATATTTCATATGAGGGCGGAGTAGCCTTCTGAGGGGGGTTTTCTGGTATGGAAAGAAGAGCAATTTCTAAGATGAGCTTCATTAATGGAAGCTTATCTGAGAGAACAGTCTTTGGGTGCAACAATGACAATGATACGAGGGAGAAGAGAGAGGCTTCTTCTACTCCATCTTACCTTACTCATTCTGATGCTCACCATCGTCATTTTCTTGCTCGTTGCTCCACTGTTGATGATTCTTCTGAGCTCAGTATTTTTGATGCCAAGAAGTATTTCAATGAAGTTTCAACCAACAATACCAACAAGGTTTCTCCTGTGACAAACATCGAGTCGATGTCGATGTCGAAGTCGAAGTCGGAGAAGTGTAACGGTCATTCAGTAACGTCGTCTCAAGACCAGGATTTTGACCAAGATTCAGAGTTATCCAAATCCAAACCCTGGACGGATGTGTCGTCTTTGATGCTTTCTAAATTCTCCCCCTCTCTTGACTCCATTGATGGATATCATCGTCGGAGCTATCGAACTAGATCTTTTCGTTCTACAACACCGACGACCTCGTCTGAGGCTAGTTGGAATAGTCAGACAGGGTTGCTCTCAAACCCTCCGGGAGCTATCTCGGTGTCAGTTTTGCGTGGAGATACTAATCATCATTCTGGGACAAAATCTCATAAGCCATCATCGTCGTCATCTACAACAACGAGATGGATTTTTAGAAGCTCTAAATGCCCTTGTACGGGGAAGAAGTCGATTCAAGTCCAGGAATCTAAGGTGGTACTAGAGCCAAAAACAAGTCCTCCTTATACCAACAAAAACACTACCGTTGGTAGCCATTCTCAGTCGGAGTCGGAGTCGGAGTCTTCGCTGTCCGAGAAAACCTCAGGTGCAAACAAAATACTTTTGCAACAATCAGATAACAACGTCGTTTGGAGCACTCAAAGACGCTTTCCTCCAAATTTGCTTCTTCAAGAACACACAACACAACGTGTAATAGCCTCCACAGGTTTCACTTTCCCTATCTTGAAAAAAAACGCCAACAACAATGAAGATATTCCAACTAGATCCATAAGTCATGTTTTAATCGAAGATCCACCTCGAGATTCTTTAGAAGTTTTCAAACCAAGCACCACTAGAGATTGTGGCAATAATGGTGGTGGTGGTGGTAGTCTAAAATCACGAATTTTAGCTAGTGTGGCAGCATCCGGTGGCACTGCCACAATTGTCAACGATGTTGATGATGTGGCGAGTGACGCCAGCTCAGACTTATTCGAAATTGAAAGTTTCTCCGCTCAAACTGTCAACACAGCTACTGTCTCATATCCTGCCATGTTCCACCGAAGAGACTCGATGGAACTAGAAGCAAGAAAACTAGGTTTGGCCCTTGCAGGCACACGTCGCAGCCTCGATGAGCCAATGACACCATCAACTGACTGGTATGAGCCAAGTGAGGCAAGCATAGACTGGAGCATCACTACAGCTGAAGGCTTTGATCGAGCAAGCATCGCAAACATGTCAGAGACCGAAGAGCCCTGGATAGAGAAAAACAATAACAACAACAACAACAGAAGAAGATCATCATCGGGAAATGGGCTGTTAAGTTGTCGGTCAGAGAAGGCAGTCAGTGTGGGCCCACAGCCGGTGACTAAGCATGTGGGGAGTAGGCCACCATTGGCAAAGAAGCCACCACTAGCAAGGTCTAATTCAGCTCACCACTCTCTTACTTTTGCTGCCTGATTTGGGAGCACTCTCTCTTGCGTTTGTGATGGAGGATGATACACAATTTCTCTCCACCAACCTCTCTCCCAACACACCATTTCTTGATTTTCTTATCTTGTCTCTTCAATTTTCCCTCTTCATTATAGTGCTCTGTCCCTCCAATAATTGTTTGGGCCATTAGTTTGGTGTACTTGTCATTCAAATATTTTACTTCCTACATCGTATAAACTCACTTTACATCTACTTTCGTAGTTTTGTGCTTTCCTATTTCTAAGCTTTTCGTGTCGAGTTTTCTTTAAACCTCGACAGAGATAGAGTGGTGTGTTGGGCGATCTTGGTATGCCTAATCCCGAGAACCTCTTGCTCTTGAACAAAGTAAAGATCAATAATCCCTAACCTTAAAAAGAAACAACGAGAATCGCCATTGTTGTTTTCTACTAACTTCATTTTTTTTTTTTTTAATTACAGAAGGAACACACACAAAGGAAGCGAGCGATGAATGAAACAGGAAAGAAAAACGAACCTGAATGATCAATTTTTCAGAAGAAGAAGAAGAAGAAGAACTCGAGAGCTACCGAAATCAGGATCGAACATTCAGAAATAAAGAACGAGAGCGATGAAATTGAGAGCTCAATCCAATCCAATCGATTATGATATTTTTCGTTTGTTTTGACTTGTTTTTGTCTGATTTTTTATTCGATTTCAACAAAGTAGAGATACTTTATGGAAATCATAATCGAATATCAGACAAAAACAAGTTAAAACATACGAAAAATATCATAATCGATTCGATCTTGATAGTGGCCGGATCAATCTTCAAGTTTGTATTGAGTCCAAGATAAAATGATAGCAATCAATTTGTTGAAATCGAAGTTATCTTAAGCATTTCTTTGCTTGACTCGAAGATTCTTATGAACGCATTATTATTATTTTTGTCTAATATATCTAGTAAGTAATTAAATTAAATTAAAAAACAAAAAATTATGATTAGAAATATTTTCTGCTGCCACTCCCGCTCGAACCACGTATCACCGTATTCCTATATTGGAAGCCATAACCCGGCGCCGCCTCTTTGACTTTTACAGATCCTAAAATTTTGGCCGTTTCAACACCTTTAAACGCTTGTAACCTCCCTACATTGATGGTTATGGGGCAATTGATGATCTGCAGGTTTCTCAAAGTTCCGATCGATCCGTCAAGCCATTCAGGTAATTCCTCCACTTTTGGAAGCTCTCTGATTGTGAATCTCTGAAGCCTAAATTCGGCGTTCTCTAAGGTGAGTGTTAGTTGCTTGCAGCCCCAGATAACCAAATTCTGTAGTGATTTTAGATATATCATCTCATTTGGCAACGATTTCAAAGTATCGCAATTGTAAATCATTAAGGTTTCAAGGTCTGCAAGGCACTCTGGCCGTTCGAATAGAATTTGTAGGTTTTTGCACCCTCCAATGGCGAGAAATTGCAGAGAAGTCATGGTTCCAACTCCGTTTTTGTGCAAACGAAGCTCTTTTGTTGTTATCCACAAGTATTTCAGGCTGATCAAATTCCTTATATCATTTGGCAATTCTTGAAGTTCGGAACAAGATTCAAGAATCAAGGTTTGCAGACTTTGTAGATTGCAGATTGAATTCGGCAGCCGCTTGATGTTCTTATTTCCATGCAAGTCGAGGTATCTCAGGCTTGTAAGTGTTCCTATAGCATTTGGAATTTCCTCTATGTTTGCATTGCCTAAATGTAACAATCTTAAGCTGTTGTACTTCGGAATGCACATTCCAGGTAGGGATGCATTAGGTGGCACCATATCTCTTACATGGAAGGCTAGGGATTTTATTTGAGTGACTGGTTTGGTACCTACTAAGCCCTCAGATTGTTCTTGTGCGAGTACGTGTGCAAGTTTTTGGATAAGAGGGTGCAGTTTAAACCAGTAGCCGAGGCCATGTTCTTCAATTTCTTGAACGAAACATCTTGACCATAGCTCCATGAAATACCTCTCACCTATATTTTTCATAGATGCGTGATTCTCTTCAGGTGAATGGAGGAGCCCATGTGCCATCCATAACTGAATCACGTCATTTGAAGATAATATGCGGTCTGGTAATTGAGCACAATGAAGAAAACAGGGCTTCAGGTGTGAGGGCATTTGATTATAGCATAATCTGAGTATATGTAAAATACCGTCATTTTCTTCCTCTTGTGCCCACAACTTGTCCTTGATATTCTTCCACTCAGCTATTCTAATTTTTGAAGATAGCAAGCTTCCCATACACTTTATTGCCAATGGAACTCCCTTGCATTTCTGCAGAATTTGGTTTTCTATTTCAGTGAATACTTCTCTGTTTACTTCTTGTCTATCTCTGAAAGCATATCTTTTGAATAACTTAGCTGATTTATCCTCTGACAGCCTCTCCAGTTTGAAGCCTGTTGGAACTTCCTGATTCTTATCGTTCGAATTCTGCATCGATTGTTTCTCAAACGCATAGACTATTCTTACTCCTAGAGCATCTGCGGTCTCCTCACTTTGAGTGGTCACTAAGATTTTGCTGTCCTCGTTTCCCATGTCCAATAGTTCCATCAATGCGGATGAATCGTCTAAGTTTGTGGTCGAAAGGTCTTGAATGACGAGCAAAAAAGATGTACCCTTCAGAAGTTGTCGAACCTTTAAATGCAATTGTTTCTTAGACAAGTCATTACAAATTTCTTTACAGGCTACAACACTATATACCTCTTCGATCAATCTCTGTGTATCAAAACCTTCTTTCACACAAACCCAGAATCTTGAAAGATACTGTTCAACTACTACTTTATGATGGTAAAGGAATTTGGCAAGTGTGCTCTTACCTATACCTGCTTCCCCAACTATGAGGAAGAATCCATGACTAGATTTGAAAGTTTGCAGAAGGTCAGCGTACCGATTGTCATGATAATCCGTTGGAGCATCAACTAATGTGTACTGCAATTGCCAACTTGGTTTCATGTGTCTTACTGAAACTTCAGTAGTGCTAAGGAAGGAGTGTGCTGTCTTCATTCTTCCTATGGAATCTGGGTGCTTTTCAGTGAGATGAAATTCATACATTCTGGCTGCAAGTGTATTCAAATGATTGCATAGTCTCTTCATTTTACGAATCAGTTTAGATTTATGTGCAGAAATTGGATCAGAGCACAAGAAAGGGGCTTGTACCTTTTTTCCAGTGCCCCCTTGTTCAAAGAAATCCCATTTGAATTCATCCATGGAGTCCTCAATTTGGTAAAAGATGTTTTGAAGCTCCTTAAGCCAGTTACGTAGATCATGATTCTGTTCTTGTTCTTGCTTCTCTTCAGCATCAAAAAGAATTGATTTAAGGCTCAACATGGTATACTCGATTGTTCGGAAGTTTGAGCAATTTTTTAGCCTACTCAAGATAGTTTCAGCGTGGTTGTAGATGAAATTAGCCATATTCTTATGGAAAATGTTGTTCCTCCTTGCGATTTATTGGGTTGTCCTCAATTGTCTTCTTACTCTTTGAGTCTGCCTGCCTTGTCTCTCTCGGGTGTCTACAGCAGATCTGATTAGTCTCGTGATGAAGAATAGTCTTTTCCGATCTTCCACTAAGAAAATCAGAGCATTGTCACGACAACTCAATTTACCCGATAAACTACTCAAGGCTCATGGTTTAGTAAGAGGGGGAGATTTGCTTTGAATCCGGGATGAATTTCTATAAATGGAGATTGTTGATATATGCACCTAATCCGTGGATTCGTTGCATTTTCATGAAGCAAAATAGCTTCAAACTTAACTCTTAGGGAAATGTATATTCTTCCCGTGCATCCTTGAAGAATAGAATAGGAGCACTCAACTCTCGCCAGGTATAATACTTCTCTTTAGGATTTATGTATTTAAGGAGTTTTGCAACTGTTTGCTTTTTATTCTAAACAAGTGGAGCCCTCATTTCTTCAAATGAACAGAGAATTCTATTCTTGCTGTGTTCGAAACTATCTGGAATAATCCCCTTCTTTCTTAGATGTAATTCCAAACTCAACACTTGGGGAAATGTATAGTCTTTCCCTTTATATTAAAGAACTGTATAGGAGGGGTCTTGGTATTCTTTAAGCTATTCCTTTACAGGTTCTTACAATTTCCCCTCTTACTTCAGAGTTATTTGGTAGAACTAGACCTTCTTTATTGAGAAGAACTAATATGAGCACCCAAAATCCTCTGCTTAGAGTTTGATTATCATGATTTCCATTCATTTTAAGGTTAACCAAATCCTGTTTTTGATTGTTTTGTTTATCTCAATTAGATTTACTCCAAATTAATTGACAAGATTCAAAATTTAGATGAATTTTCGGACTATTTTGTGATATTTGAACGATTGGTTGTGTTTAGGTTGTAGCCACAAAGCCATTAATAAATTTCGTGGATAACTTATGAATTGCGAGCTGATATGAACTTATGAGTGATAGAAGTATTATCATATACTACAGGGTTGTAATTACGCTGCATGCACTCGAACTCTCATAAGAGTCTTTATTGTGGACACATATACTACACGCCATATAATACTATGAACCGCACCATCAAAGGATTGATGATGATTATTTATATATATATAGATTCTGATTCAGGGAAAGGCCTTCCTGTGGTTCAAGCCAATTGCCTGGGGAGACACTCCGCTGGAACCAGACCCGCTACCACTCCCAGACCCCGACCCAGATCCAGAAGCCGAGCCCGAACCACTGCTTGATCCGCTTCCTGAGCCTCCCCCGCCACCGCCACCGCCACCGCCACCACCATTGGGCTGCTGCACTGCCGCAAGGCTGATGCTGCTGCTGCTGCTTATTAAGAAGATGAGAAAGCAGAAGCGGAGGTAAAGCATGGATGGAGAGGCCATGAGGGAATAAGGCTGAAGGGGACGTTTGTTGTTGATATTGGTATTTATAGAGAGTTTTGGGAGTTTGTGGGTTTGGGGCGTCTGGCATTTGTTGAGCGCGCAGATTGCCAAGGAGCCGACAATGTGTCGCCCTTTTGGGCATCGAACACAACACGCAAATGCGTCTTAATAGTTCCCATCAGTGGGGCGCCGGGGGGGCTTAGTGTGATCATCTCTTGTGTCCACTATTTTTTTTTGTTTTTTCTTCCCTTTCAGGCCCTTTTTTTTTCTTTTCTTTTCTTTTCTTTTCTTTTCTTTTCTGAGTTGTTGTGGAGAAGATGAGGAAAGTGAACTAATATTAAAAAAAAAGTATATATTTTGTCTACTGAGTACCAAATAAAGTGATGAACTTGAAAACTCAAGGACTCGAATGTAACTAAATTCAATTTGAGGGATTTTTGTTTTTGTTTTTTCGAATCATATTAAGACTCATGGGCGATATTCAACTCGAGACTATAGTTCGAATAGGAATGTTAGTTCCCATACAATGTGAAATGTTCGTATTTATCCCCAAAGATTTTTAACATTCATAATGTTTCTCTTAAATTTTCAATCAAATCCAAAAAAATTTGAAATGAACATCAAACGATGATTATGAATTATGGAACTAAACCCTAAACATTACGACTTTTTTTCGGTGTGCAACATCAAACAAAGAGTAAAATCAACATAATTAAATAAAAGTTGAAACAATACATAAATTTATCAATCAATCACTGTTAGGAACAGATATTCTAGCTCTATAATATTAAACAGGACAACAGAAGGGCACAAATTCAATAATAATAGAAGAGTGAGAGTAGTAACTCTGAAAAATCCCATAAGAATGGAAGAGGGAAAGAAGAACTCTGTGCTAAGCAAGCAATGTAATAAATTACCAGAATTTCTCGGTAGCTCCAGCAGTGAAGCAACTATTTTTGAGGAATAGATTCCATTGTTTGAGTTGTTGGCGGAGTAACGACAGCCAGATTCAATTCACGGGAACTAGATCCACCAGCTCTTTCACGAATCTCCCTATATTCTTGACATATAGCACAGCAATGGCAGAAAAAGTGGGTCAAGAAGTCTCCACAAGGTGCTTCCTACATCACGTTACGGAAATTGATGCGGGTCATGGTCGGTAAGTTAACTCGTCAACTAAGCATAAGAAGAAACAGAATTTTAGCGAGCTGGGTTACATTATATGGCAGGGATAAAGGCATTAGAGCCAGTTCCCTGCCTTGTCCAGTAACGAACCTACAAATAAGCTACTTAATGTTTCGACATTACTTAGGCAAGGAATGTATCAGGAGAAGGAGAAAAGATCAATGCATGATATTCTTGACAGATAGCACAGCAATGGCAGAAAAAGTGGGTCACGAAGTCTCCACACAAGGTGCTTCCTACATCACATTTCAGAAATTAAAAGATGGGGATCATGGAAACGTGAGTTAACTCATCGACTAAGCTTAAGAAGAAACAGAATCTTAGCGAGCTGGGTTACAATATATGGCAGGGATAAAGGCATTAGAGCCAGTTCCCTGCCTTGTCCAGCGACGAACCTACAAATAAGCTGCTTAATGTTTCGACATTCCTTAGGCAAGAATGTATCCGGAGAAGGAGAAATGATCAATGCATGATATTCTTGACAGATAGCACAGCAATGGCAGAAAAAGTGGGTCACGAAGTCTCCACACAAGGTGCTTCCTACATCACATTTCAGAAATTAAAAGATGGGGATCATGGAAACGTAACAATCGGTGAGTTGAACTCATCGACTAAACTTAAGAAGAAACAGATTCTTAGCAAGCTGGGCTACATTATATGGCAGGGATAAAAGGCATTAGAGCCAGTTCCCTGCCTTGTCCAGCGACGAGCCTACAAATAAGCTACCTAATGTTTCAACATTACTTAGGCAAGGTATATATCAAGAGAAGGAGAACTGATCAATGTATGATATAGTAAGAATAACTGAAATAACTTATAAGTTGAGGTATGATGGAAATAAACAATGAAAAAGTGATAAGAGTATGATATTATACTGGCAAATTGTACTTGGACCGTAGGGCTTTGCGGTAGCCACAAGCATAGCATGCAAGAAAGCATCCAGCTACATTCCACAAAGCTCCATCAGTCGATAAGCAGCAGACTGCATTCATAAGAGCCCACAAAATGAAATGAGTGGCGCACGACCCGAACATTGTTTGAGAACCAAGAAGCGCTGAATTCTTCCCAAACAAAAAGCATGGACAGCAAAGGCCTATAAAACCTGCACCCACAAAACGTTGCAATGATCTCCCCACTTGACATACTAGAGATGGACCAAAAATGCAATGCTCTTATACTCAAATCATACTACTGTCAAAAATTAATATTCAACCTAATCATTCCACACACAAAAAAGTTCACTTCATATCATCTAAATGCTTCTTGGTTTCTGACAAACTAAAGGTGCGCAAGATCAAGTGTCCTGTTTGATTCAAATACTTCACGCCTATAATCTCTGAATCTTTATACACTCTTCAATGATAGAAACCGAGGATTCAAACTGATCAAGCAACATGTAATAGTTAGAGAACAAGCAAAATATGTAGGCCCCAAGGTAGGCAGTCTTAAAGGATTTAATAACCAAACCCACCCCTTAAACTAAATTCAAAGTTCTTCAAGCGCTAATCCCAATCATTGTGCAAAATTCAGAGGTTCCGCTTGAAAGAAGTAGTTGGTTCACAACAACAAAGTGTCTAACAAAGATCTATGAACACTCAACAAATAAACGACAGTGCATGCTTATATTTCACAACAGGATATGACAGATTCCCTAATGGAAACAAATGGCCTAGAATTCAAATATTTAAATTTAGATATAAGACCACATGCAAAGTAATGGTACATTTCCTTTCCATACTCAAGATGCACCTGCATAATTTTTCCTTCGCATAAATCAAGTTCAGAAGGCAGAAAGTAGCGTACAGCTCTGCATATCATCGCAGCATGCACAGATTCCAGACGACCATTGTGACAATTCATCCTTAAGTTCATTAGGTATCGGGTGGCCCTCATCTTTGGAAATAATCTCCGCTTCTGAAACAGACTGCCCTATTGGAATATATGCAGGAGGGACATAGCTCCTATGGCCATCCATCTTGCGCTGATACTCAACGTATTCCTACCAATCTCTTTCAAACGAATTCAACCTGTAAGCTTTATTAAAATTCGTCAAAACGCAATTCGCAAACCCTACACTTCACCCTCCCCTCATTTTCACATAGTTTTTACACTTTGATCCCCTAATTCATTTTGCACATTTCATCTGATTCGGTGAATGTTCAACTCAAATCAGAACGTGAAACTTCATGTAGAAAAATTTCAAACATAATGGGAAAAGAAAGAAAGAAAGAAAACAAAAAAGTAGCTAACAAGATTCAAATGAGTGAAAATAAAATTTGCAGCGACGAATCCAAAGGAGTACGAACCTGTGGATCAAGTAGGAGGTGAATTTTTACCGAGTGTTCGATCGTCTCGTTCACCGGAAAGGCGCGGTAGAGAATAATCGGAAGGAATGCGGATGGGATCGGAGATGAATTCGGGATGTTATTATGTCGCCGGAGTGGGAAGATTCGAATCCTTATATACTCGTAGCTAAATCGACGACGATCAGAATTGTTTTCCACATTTTTCTTGGATTAAATTAATAAAAATTCCTTTAAATTCTATAATTTATCTAAAAATAATAATATTACTACCATTTCAAACCTTTTATAATATCCTTTAACTCAAAACAATAATAATAATAATAATAATAATAAATATTTGTACCAATATTTTTCACGGTCTAATGGTTTTCAAAATTTTATTAATACATATTACGTTTAAAATAACATTTAAAAATAATATTTATATCCTTAACTTTTATAAATAAAAAAAATTAAAAACTTTTTATTAAAAATATCTATATTTAATTCTATAATTTGAGATCTTTTATTTTAACTTATTTACTTTAAATCATCAATTTTGGAAAATATATTTTTTTCCTAGCATAAAATTTGAATTATTATTTAATTAAGTTAGGTAAAAAAAAAAAATATATATATATATATATATATATATATATATATATATATATATATCTTCAAATTTTAATTTTAAAATTTATTGAACTAATTAAAATTAAAATAGTATTTTAACCATTCTTGTCAAATGTTTTTGAAATTTGTAGGGTCATGTATTAGAAACTTGGGTGTGGGTAGGCCTGGACGTGGGCTCGAGGGTGCCGAGCGTGTTTGCGTGGATGGACCACGTGGGTGGGTTGGGTGCCGACTAGGGCAAAATGTTGGGCTTGTTCCTGGGCCCAAAGTTGCTTCAATATTTTGGGCTTATCCCAATTTTGGATCTTATTGGGCTTGATGGCCCAATTGTAATGGGCTTAATCCTTTATTTTTTTACTTTAAAAAAAGAAATAAAAATAGAGATTGTTTTTTTTAAAAAAAAAAAACGAAAATTAAAATAGCCCAAACTCTAAAATTTAGAGTTTTTATTTTTTATTTTTTTTTATTTTTTATTTTTTTGTCAACATTTTTTCTCGATATTTTGACTCTGCGAACCAGTTTTTTTTTTTTCAGCTCCCTCCACTTATCACCGCGCTTCTGAACCATCTCTTTGCTGATGAATTAGGGATTCCCCTGTCGACCTTGAAACCACCCCCCCCCCCAACTTCACCCACTCATTGGTTTCAATTTCGTTCTTCTCTCTCGTTCTTTTACTGTTTAATTCCTTTTCTTATCTGTTCATCCTCTGCTCGTTGCGAAGGAACACAAGGACCGAGGAGAATCTGCGACTATCAGCAATCTTCTTCATTGTTGAAATTTGTTCTCCCTGAGGTTTTATCGGGGGAAGTCAATCGTTGAGAGTGGAGTTCACAATTCAATACATGCCAGGTATTCGAAATTTCAAATAGGTTATTATTATTATTATTATTATTTTATGAAAATCTAGATCCACCTCTTACATTGCGACGAGGAATGACTGATTGGGATGTGGAACCCTAGTATTTTGTTCCATAAATTCGAACTGGGCAGAAATTGTTTTTTTTTTTTTTTTTTTTTTTTTTTTTTTTTTTTTTTTTTTTTTTTTTTTTTTTTTTTTTTTTT